GACGTCTGGATCTTAAGTTATCAAAGAAACAAGCTGAGTTAACGTTAGCAGCAGCATTAGCAGCTAATGTTAGCAGCAGCGTTAGCAGCTAACATTAGCAGCAGCCCCTTCCAGTGGCAGAAACTACACACTGTGTGTTAATATTTTGAGAATAAATGATATATGTATATATTTCGGACAGAATGTTGTAACGTTTTGAGGATACTTTAAGTACTGATACTAACAATAAAGTACTTTATTTTCCTTCAGATCTCATATTATATAATATTATACATTTGTTCCTCCTGTGTTCTCCTCAGTGGCTGTGATTAGAGGATGTAGGCTTATTAATAATGATAATGATAATGTGTCCTGTAGAGACGAGAGGAATCAGTCCATCATAGTGAGCGGAGAGTCCGGAGCAGGAAAGACGGTTTCTGCAAAGTACGCCATGCGTTTCTTTGCCACAGTGGGCGGCTCAGCCAGCGACACCAATGTGGAGGAGAAAGTGCTAGCCTCCAGTCCCATCATGGAGGTGAGTGACTGACACACTACTGATGTTCAATTTCATCTGTAAAACATCCTCTTCTTCTCTTTCTCTCTGACACTGTTAAATTCTTCCTCAACAACTCATCATGCAAATTAATATTTTTTTATTGTTTAGTTTTAGCGTGGCTCTGTCCCAACCACCACTGATTAACTGATGTTATATCTGCTTTGTTTCGTATGTACAAACACTGAAACAGTATGAAAAGTTACAGACCATGTCCTCTCTGGGAGCATTTACTTCCTGGTGTCTGGTTGCCCGGCGACTGCTCGGAACCAGGAAATAGTGCGGCACATAAAAAGTGGAACTGTCATTTTTCAACCTTAACTATATGTAAAAAAAAAAAATTAAAAAAAATTAAAAATTCTGTGTTCTGTCACTAAAAGGAAACCTAGGTTTTCTTTGTTATTTCTCCTTCTGAAAGCAAACAATTAATATGTTTAAAATGTGTTCAAACATGTTTCCAGTAGCTGTGAATATACAGATGGTGTATATTTTAGATCAGGCACCTACAAGAACCACAAAAACAATAACTCAGTATACTGTATCATAACACATTAGCATGTACAGCTAATGTTGATACTTATGCTCTTATTTCAGATACAGTGACCAGAGTGTGCTCGTTCCTTCAAACATGAACATTTACCTACTGAAGGTGTTCTGCTGTTAAATTCTGATATCACATTATGCTGATGACACTGTGCTCTCCGTCCTCAGGCTATTGGAAACGCCAAAACCACTCGGAACGACAACAGCAGTCGTTTTGGAAAGTACATTCAGATCGGATTCAGCCGGCGTTATCACATCATTGGCGCAAACATGAGAACATACCTGCTGGAGAAGTCCCGGGTTGTTTTTCAGGTCAGTTTGATTCGTTGTTTAGTGACGGTATACAGGTACAGTGTACTGTACAGTGTACAGTGTACAGTGTACATGTACAGTGTACAGTGTACAGTGCAGTGTACAGTGCAGTGTACAGTGCAGTGTGTGGGCAGTGTACAGGACAGTGTACACTGTACAGTGTACAGTATACAGGAAAGTACATAGTGACAGGTTACTGCAGTTTTTTCCACTCTGTGTATAATCATATAATATAATACAATAATATGTTGTTGTTGTCTGTTGATAGGCGGAGGATGAGAGGAATTATCACATATTCTACCAGCTGTGTGCCTCTGCCAGTCTACCAGAGTTCAGAGAACTCAGCCTCAGTGAGTCTACCTGTTTGTTTCCATGGAAACAGACTTACTACTACATTACTACTGCACTGCTCAGGTGTTCTCAGGTGCGACTGTAACAGTGAGTTTAGAGAGAGCGAGAGTTCTGTGAGGACTGTGAGGACTCCTCTGTGTTCAGTACAGGAGAAATATTTCAAATCCTGCTGGTATTCACACAGTTTAATGAATAATGAATAAAACATCATATGCCTGGTTTTGACCTGCTGACCTCAGAGTGTTTGATTGGTTCCTGTTTGTGTCTGTCAGCCAGCGCAGAAGATTTCACCTTCACATCTTTGGGAGAGAACATCTTCATCGAGGGAGTGAACGATGCTGAAGACTTTAAAAAGACCAGAGAGGCCTTCACACTGCTGGGTGAGCACCCATCCTACATATTAACGTACTATATAAATATCATATTAGTGTATAGATTTCATCACTTAGGTGACCCAAACAAAATGATAAATGTGACTTTTGTCCAACATTTGTCCAACATGTGTTTGCCGTGTGTCTGCTGTGTGCTGAATGTGTTGGACATTGAACATGTGACTGTGTGTTTCAGGGATAAAGGACAGCAGTCAGAGCAGTATTTTTAAGGTCATCGCCTCCATTCTTCATCTGGGAAACATTGAGGTTTGCCCGGAGCGAGACGGAGAGTCGTGTCACATCTCAGTACGTCACCGTGGTTACAGCCGATGATCAGCAGGTCAGATCGAGCGTCCTCTAACGGCTGAATCTGTCTATGTGTGTGTGTTGCAGAGGGAAGACGTCCACCTCAAACACTTCTGCCAGCTGATGGGCGTTGAGATGCAGCAGATGGAGCACTGGCTCTGTCACAGGAAGCTGGTCACTGCATCCGAGACCTACGTCAAGAACATGTCCAGCAAGCAGGCGACCAATGCCCGCGATGCGCTCGCCAAACACATCTACGCACGTATGTTCGACTGGATCGTGGAGCACATCAACAAGGCCCTACAGACCTCCATCAAACAGCACTCCTTCATCGGAGTGCTAGACATCTACGGGTATATAGCCTTCATCATCCTCATCCTCTCAGCTCTGACGCCCTCCAGGCCTTAGTGCAGCCTTCAGCTGTCCCTGCTTCACATGTCAGATCTTTATTGTCCCACAGGGAGACAATCAAAGACAATAAAAATGACAATAAAGCTTTGAGATAAAGCTGTGAGCTGAGACCTTTGACCTCCAAATTAAATTTCTTAACTCTTATATAAAGTAGCACAAAACACCTTAAAGTCCAGGTGAAACAGAAATCAGAGAGCTGTTTGCTTCCTCATATTTACGTATTTCCTGTAAGAATAGGCAGTTAGGGAGGGACCTAACAGCGCTGTGTGCTACGTCCCCCCAGTCCAGCAGCTGTAGTGGATCCATTAGCTGACTCTGTTGGACTGGGAGCTCCCAGTGAACAGCAAGTCCAGACCTGGACTGAATGCAGCATCTGATGCTGACGGAGGACAGGGACTGAGGTGGTTTTATTGCCAGTTTTGCTAGCGTTTTTGTAGCATTTGTAGCTTAGCTTTCAGCTGGAAACTCTCAATATCACCTCGGTATCTGATTGACGCGTGAATGTCATGATATTATTAGTTGAAATCAGTTTGTTTGTGGTTACGTAAGCATGCGACGCAAGACAAACTGATGGATTTTAATATAAAAATACAAAGAAATTGAGTTTTTGTAAATATTTTGTTAAACAGGAAAAGAATATAACTGAGGATGTTATTTTAAAGGGTTAAAATGCCATTTTTGAATGATGGCTACTGCACAGAATCCCTTTAGAGGAAACATGAAGCCGTTTACAGCAGTTAAATTCAGCAGTTTCCATGGAGACGGTTTGTTTGTGTGCGCCCTTGTTGTGAGACCTGGTGTTAGCGTCAGCATAGTCACCTGTTTGTTCGTTTGTCTGCAGGTTCGAGACGTTTGAGGTGAACAGCTTTGAGCAGTTCTGCATCAACTACGCCAACGAGAAGCTTCAGCAGCAGTTCAACTCTGTGAGCCTCCTCTCCTTTAAAATCTTACATGGCCGGGTTTGAACCTGAACCTGAACCTGAACCTGAACCTGAACAGTCTAACGCCTCTGTATGTGCTCTGTCTTACCAGCACGTGTTCAAGCTGGAGCAGGAGGAATACATGAAGGAGCAAATCCCCTGGACCCTCATAGACTTCTACGACAACCAGCCCTGCATAGACCTGATCGAGGCTCGACTCGGCATCCTGGACCTGCTGGATGAAGAGTGTAAAGTGAGACCTGAGCTCCTGTTGTTGCCCATAAACTGCTGTTTGATTGGTAGAGTGAATGTGGTTGGCTGTTAGACTCAGTTCCATTATTATGTTCTGTGTCTTATTGAGATCAGTGTTCTTCATCTAGCTAAGCAGTTAGCATGCTTACAGGTTGAACTAAGGTGAAAATGTACCCTTTCTAAGCCCCGCCCCTTTTTGCTCTGTGCTCGAATAACAGTTGAGCAAGATTCGGTCAGAACCTTGTTCAACTTCCTCCTTTCCTTTACTTAGATATGCTATATGCTACGCTAATCTGTGTTGAAAAGACAACCACGTTTGTCAGTGTGAGCAGATTGTGTCTGTAGATTGAAGAGAATCAGAGTCTCACTGATGGTGGAAATAAAGCTCTTCCACCGCTCTTCCTCTTCCTATTGTTCCATGATCTGCTTCCAGGTGCCGAAGGGAACCGATCAGAACTGGGCCCAGAAGCTCTATAAGCAGAACTCTAGCAGTGCTCACTTCCAGAAACCTCGTATGTCCAACACCTCCTTCATCATCATACACTTCGCTGACAAGGTGAGCACAGGACTCTCTGCTGTTACCTTATCAACACCAACAACAACACCAACACCAACATCAACACCACTGACATAAACA